TCTCGCTGGGTATCTCGCTGGGGAGCCTGGGAGGTTACACGGAGCGGGGGACATAGGGTGGGCCCTGGGGAGGGCTCGGGCAGGCAGCTGGGGGTCCCAGCCATGCTCAGGCTGTCTGTGCTGCTCTTTGGCCCTACAGGTTTCCAACCGATGGGTTCCTGCTTCTGGCCCTGCTGCTCTACGCACCCGTGGGGCTCTGCCTGCTCGTCCTGCGCCTCTTTATCGGCATACACGTCTTTCTGGTCAGCTGCGCCCTGCCTGACAGCGTGCTGCGACGGTGCGTGAGCCCAGCTCTCCCCAGGGCCTGGAGCTCCTGCTGTTGCCTGGGGTGTGGATGTGGTGTGCAGACATTGCTGTGGGGCAGCATGGGGTGGGAGGGCTGCCCTCGCCCATTTGGGGTCCTTAGCCATGGGGGCTTGGTTCATGCAGAGGTTTATAGGCAGCTGTGCTTTCGGGACTCTTTGTCCCCAGGACCCATGAAGATGCCTTCTCTGCCAAGACCAAAGCTAGAAATTGCCTCTTGAGTGCTCAAGGACTGATCTGAAACACTTGGATCAGTTGGGTATCCTGCTAAGAAATTCTGTGCGAGGCTTGCTGGCCCATACTTCATGCTGCAGCTACAGCTTTGCAGGCAGCCTTCAGCCCCAACTGCAGCCCCCCAACAATTCCCGTCTCAGACATCTGTCATATCGTTTCTTTTTTGTACCAGTGTCCTTTTGCAAGTCACATGAATTCCCAGGTCTCTGTTCTGTTTGTTGGATCTGTAAGCCAGCAATAGCTCAGACTGCAAGACTTGAGGAAACCACTTCCCTCCCCCCCAGGTTTATTGTACGTGTGATGTGCTCAGTGCTGGGCTTATTTGTGCGGCAAAGTGATCCCCGGCTTCGTGATGTCAATGTGAGGGTGTATATCGCCAACCATGTGACACAGTTTGATCACAATGTCATCAACCTTCTGACCTCATGTAATACGGTGAGTAACTTGGAGCTGAGCATGGCGGGTCTGGAAGTACCTCTCTCCAAGAGAAGTGCACAGAGAGCTCTTTCAGAATTTAGGTGTTGCCACGGTCCTCTTCAGTTCTTATTTATTAACTCAGGATTGCACAAGGCTTGAGGTTTTTTCCCATGGTTCAGTGTCACGCTTTAGGCTCTACACGAAAAAATAAAACAGGGCGAGGAGGAATGGGAAATGTTACAGTGGGTATTGATTTTATTGAAAGAGAGTGGGCAAATCCTAGCATTTATCTTTTTCTGGCCTTTCAAATAGCTGGTGTCAGAAGCAGGGCTGGTTGTGGGGTTTTCCCACCGTGTTGGGTGCTACTTCTGTGCGTGTGGAGAGCCGGCTGCGCTGCGGGGGAGTGCTGAGGGGAGCTGCATGGGGGGGCAGTGGTGCTCGGGTTATTGTGCTGGGCTGGTGGTTGTGTAACTTTCCCTGTACTCTTGTGAAATTCCTTATGTGTGGAGTTCCTGAATCAACAGGCTCCGAATGTGCCTGGGAGTGAGTTGGTTGTCCTATATCCTGCACAGCAGTAGATTTGTTCCTTACCCAGAGAACAGTAATTCTTGGAAGTAGTGTATCCTTTGCCAGGCGTGTCAGGAACTACTAGAGGAAACATGGGGAAACACGGTTGTCGCCCAGGGCAGGAGAGGAGTTCGTTTCTTTGGCAGACAGGGTACAGTCTGAACTGAAGATTAGGAATCAAATTCCTAGGGAATTGGGGCCAGAGCAGTTACTGAAGCCTGGCAGTAATGTGTTCTCGGCTACTAGTTCTTTTAGCCTGCAGGTTGCTCCCTCAGCCCCCAGAGGCATTCTTGCTGATAAGCAAGAACTTTGTCTCCCACTGTCATTTGGGAAAGTAGGCCTTGAGGGGAGGACAGGACGGCATTTTTTCCTTACTCTTGTTTTTCTTTGCAGCCTGCATTGAACGGTGCCCCTGGCTTCATCTGCTGGTCACGGGGATTCATGGAGCTGGGAGTAACAGGAAGCCGAGCAGAGCTGGTGGATTCCCTGAAGGTATATTCATCCCACAGAGGAAACCCACCACTGCTGTTGTTCCCAGAGGAGGCTGCCACCAACGGCCGGGCTGGCTTACTCCGCTTCAGGTACTAGGAATGGATATTCCTGTGGCGGGGCTGTTGTTGCTTTGTTTTAGCTTTGGGGTCATTCATTGCTGACTTCTTCCTTTTCAGCTCTTGGCCGTTCTCAATCTTGGATGTGGTACAGCCAGTTGCCCTACAAGTTCAGAGGCCTTTGATCACTGTGGTGAGTCAGGGACGTAGGGCAAGGAGGAGTTGTGGAGGCGTGCACTGTGCGAGCGTCTTGGTGATGCCGTTAACTCTGCTTCTGCTTTGAAGCCTATGGGTAGTGCAGCCTGGCCTTGTGTCCTATCACGCCAAGGACTAGCTTCTCAGTGCTAACACTTCTGTTCTTCAAGTGCCTTTCCCAGGGAACTTCCGCTAAGTCAATACTCTTTTTAGTTACACTGGCAGCTTTGATACACATTTTAGTGGCTTAGCTGTCTAACAATGTGCCATCTGGTTTCCATGACCATAGCGTCACTGTGTCTCATCTCTTCGTGAGCTCCCTTCTTTTAAAGTGCTTTGAAAGAATACCTTCAGCCACCTTGGAGAGTGGCTGATGTGCCAAAGGTTATGCACGGCTCTCTGGATTAGGTTCTTGAACTCATGCCTCCCAAATGCAGATATGTAACATGATGCAACATTAGCTTCAGAAAAGTGGCAAAGTTCATGATGGTAATACTGGTGCTGCTAAATAGATTGCAGTAAAACTGTTCTCAGCTTATTTACAGTGAGAGATTTTGTTGAATTTCTTATTTCTTGATACAATTTATGGATCTACTTGATTAAAAGACACATTTTATATTTGTCAGACATTTTAGTTGATTCTCTGTTGTCCATCTTTTTAAGGTAGTAGGCCACAGTGGACAGATTTAAAGCCACTTACCAGCCGGTCACAAAACATCACTGCCCATACTAAAACATCAGCATGCAGGTATTTTTAAAGTGAGATTCTGTTAGGGATTAGTTCTTTGCCCAGTGCTATTTAGTGCTTTTATCGGTGCTGCAGATGACAATATTGAGATCCCTGCTGGTAAAGTTCAGGTTAGTGAATAATGAAGAAGCTAGGTTATTGATTATCACCTAGTGAACTACTGATAGGTGCCAGTGAACGGCTGTTACTTGTAAGTCTAATGTGGTCTGTGGGTGCATAACAAGAGGAATATCTGGCAGGGTGAGGAACATGGTGTTAGCTGCATGTGTGCAATGATGAAAACTGCTAAAATGTTATGCGAAGCTTTGGTAACCCTGCTGCCAAGAAAGTGGGGCAGTAGTAGAAAGAGTTCAAGGAGGCCATAAGCATGATGCAGAATCCAGAGAGCAACACTTAAAGGGACTCAGCTTATCAGAGAAAAGGCAGAGAGATTGTTGTGGATAGCTGCTTGCACGTTGGAAAAGAGGCTTAAGAGTGGAGAATTCTTTTTTTTTTTCTGACAAAGCACGCAGTAGCAGTCTTTGCAGGTGCTGAGACTAAATGTTGGTACTGCACAAGTTCAGGTTTGGATTAAGATGCTGTTTTCTAATGGTGAGGATACTTTAAATTTTTGAATGACTACTCCAGAGAAGTGGGATAGCTGTCCCATTCTGGACTGTTTATAATGAATATCTTATCTTTTTATGGTTTTGGCTCCTCTGAGAAATTCTGAGAGATGTGACAAGTTGCATATTTGTCTGTGCATCCTTTCCTTCATGAATGTTAGGAAGAACAGCATGCATGTAACTGCAGATCTGTTTGAAGTTACTGGTTATAGTCACTTCTTCGCTCAGATTTTTACCTTCGGAGGTCGAGCAGGATTATTTGCCCTTCATGCACATTGGCTAAGTAAATCCTAGTGGATTTCTTATGTAATTTTAAACCATCAGAAAATTCCAAGTACTGGAGATGTGATACTTTGAACGGTTCGATCAGTGTTTTACAGAAAGCTTTCTTAGACACTTATGTGATATATATCAGACACTGGGCTGAGCAAACCACCAAATTTGGGTTTAAGAAAGAGTTTTCTCCAGCTCCAATTGGCTGGAACCTTGAAGGAGGGTGTTGTTCTGTGGCACAAGGCAGCGTAACTGAAGTCTGGCTATTGGCATCGCTATAAGGCATTGGATTGTAGGTTTCTTAGATCTGTTTATCCAGGAGATGAGGCTTCTTTATGTTACACTTGGTGGCTGTGGTTTCTGGGCTTTTCTCATTTACAGCACCTCTTCCCAGGCCATGGAATAAACCAGGCACAAGGCCTGTCTTGGAGCCACACTGCTTTGGTTGAGGACGAAGTCGTGTAAAAGAAGCCGAGGCAGCTACATCGCGAGCTGTAGATCTTGAGATGGTGTTCTCACCAGCTTGTGGAAAGTTTGGTCACTGCAGGATAAAAGTAACCAACTACAAAAATCCTAGGAACAACATCCGTTCTATAGCAAATTCTTTAGAATCATTGAAGAGTACAGATTGTGGGACACCTCTGGAGGTCTTTAGTTCAGCTTTCTGTTCACAGTCAGACTGGCTTCTGAGTATGGTCCAGCTGCTTGGGGCTGTATCTCGTTGAGAAGGATGGAGAGCCCACTGCTTCGGAGTGCCTGTTCCAGTTCTCTCTTCTGGCAGGCATTGCAGTACTTCTTAGGGAAAAGGTTATTTACTAATTTTTAGAAATAGAAAGAAAGTAATAAATTACGGCTCGCTTTTAATGATTTATCTTCAAAGAGAAGAGTTGTTTAAGACTTCACAGTGCAGCCTGTTTGGAAATGAAGAGATAAAGCTTATGGGGGTTGAGAAATTACATAGGCTGTTCCCATCAGAATAAGGGAGGATTGTTCACGATTCTAAGGAAGCGTTAGTAGGTCTTAAGGCATTTTCAGTCCTTTCTAAAGGCACAGTCTAGTAGAGAATGTGGGGATATTGAAGGAAAATCTTGCTGTCCTAGTGGGAGGAAAAGATGACTCAGAGCAGTGAAAACTTTGACTATATTGCTCTGCTTGGTGAAGACTAATGAAGGTGAATCTGCCCTGGGGCTTGCCCTCACTGTGCGCTGGGTTTGCCATTCCCTCTTTCCCAGTCCTCCACATCTCTCTGCCCACGTATCTGTTACTCGCTGCCATGGCTTAGCTGTGTTCTGTCGCCTGCTTCCCTGATGGAGACCTGACTAGCTCGTGTTTTGTGGGCTGCGATCTCATTGTGCTCTCCTCCCCAGAGTGTGGCTGACTCCTCCTGGATTACAGAGCTGCTCTGGACCTTCTTTGTTCCCTTCACAGTTTATCAAGTAAGGTACTATCTCTCTCTCTCTCTTTCATTTGGGGCAGGGTTTAGGGTGGGCAGAGAGCCTGATGTTTTTGCCGTTGTAGTAAGAGATCTTTTGGTATGTGCTAATGCGCACCCTCATCATGGTACCTCAGCATGGCTTTGTTCAGCATTATTTGGTCCATGCCAGGTCCAGCTTCTGGACCAGCTTCTGAAGTGGAGAGGGCTCTTGGTTCCTGCGTTCAGTTGGTAAAGGAGAGGAATCTCTCAGGGCTTTGATGTCAAGTTTGCCGGATGTATTTTTGAAGCTAGCTGCTTTGCTGTAATTCACCCCAGGGTTGCTCAGGTCCCATGGGTGATTCCCTGCAGGCAGCTCAGTCCTCTAGCGTCTGTCTCTTCCCTGCAATCCCTTGTGAATTGCAGAGGTGGTTCAGACACCTGTCTAGGGCCCAGGTGAGCCCAGACTGGCTGAGTAGCGTTGGTATAATAAGGGTCCATAGGCGGTGGAAGGGGCTTGGAGTCAAATTTAGGGGTTGGGGTATTTCAGCAAAGAAAAGTCTTGTGCTGTAGCTTTCCCTGGCCATATTCGGCTTGCATCTTGCTGATCTGTTTTCTATGCTCATGTAAATGGCAGTGTCTCCTCATTTGGGGCCTTTCTGGGAACTTAATTAGGAGATACTTCACAAGTTACGCTTGAGTGCTAATAAAGATTCAATGAGCTAGTTTTGTCTTCTGAGCTGTGCCTTGCCCTTAATTTTGCAAGCTAGTGGTGAGGTTTGACACTGTCTTGTGGGGAGAGATTTGGGGTGAGCAGGGAGAGCTGAGGTGGGAATAGCACCATTGCACTATTGATCCCAAATGGGGCTGGCTCCTCCAGCAGCCCTTGAAGCAGTCAGCCCAGTGCTGTTGTCCCCATTCAGGTGGATGCCGTCTGTCCCCAGACGAGCTGAAGAACTGAGTGAGGATTTTGCGCTCCGAGTTCAGGAGGTAGGAGGATAACGTGGGAGAGGGATGTGTAGGACTACTGCAATTTGGGATGGTCACAGAGGAGAGTGGGGTGCAAGCAGAGTTGCAAAGGGCATTTCTGGATGGGTGTATTTGTATGATGGGAACTCCGGCCCATACTTATTGCCCTTTATAATTATTCAGTTTTTCCATGGCCTATTTGCTACCTCCCATTTATTCTTTCTGCCGGTTATCAAGGCTCTCCCCATCCGTTTTAAACCTTTCACTCCCTTTTCATAATACCACAAATCAAATAAAGTGATTGTTTCTCCACCTTTCCCTTATGTGCTGGGTACTTCATAGCTCCTGTACCAAAGATCTTGTATCTCCCTGTCAGCCTGTTTTGGCAGGATGATACTGCCTACTCCTGGTCCTTCATGTGCTCCCTGCAACACTGAAATGCATCACTGAGTCCCTGGAGAAATCAGTTCCCAGTCCTCTTCCCCTCGCTATGGCTCCACGCAGGCCTGTACATCTGATACACTCCCCTGCAAGATGGGAATGCCTGGGTCATGCGTGTTGTGTGTTGTGTACATGTGACTCTTCTCTACATTTCTGCAGCTCTTGGCCATGGAGCTGGGTGTGGTATCCACACGGCTCACTGCAGCAGATAAAACTGAACACATGAAGAGGCTGAGACACACATCACTTCTCCCCTTTGCCCCAGGTAAGCGTCCTGGGTAGTGTCCTGACTATGGAACTGCCACTTAGGCTTTGCCTTTGGGGAGGCCTCAGTCTGCTTTTGGTTACTCATGTGTGGAGGGAAAGGCGAAGGCATGTTTGACATCCTCCTGGGGAGCAGGGGCTGCCTGTGTGCTCTAGGCTGGGGGTTGTAGCTAGCTGGCAGGGAGGGGACCACCACTCCTGAGCCACAGACATGATGGTGGTGTGCAGGAGGTCCGGCTTTGTTATCACACCAGTTGCAACTTGAAGGCCATGCACCTTTAGGCCACCTTGTTCTGCCCACTGTTCTTTCTCTTGCAGCCTCAAGCCAGCCCCTGGCAGCCAGGCCCAGGATGCCTTCCAGCCTGACTGGTGTTGCTCCTGAGGATGTGCGGATCACGGCAATGGCTCAGCGGGTCAAGGAGGTGCTGCCTCATGTGCCTCTGGAGGTCATCAGGATAGACCTGGGTAAGCAATGCCTGGGGTGTTGGCAGGGACTCACTGTCACCTTCCATGCCAAGTCTCTGTGATACCTGAAAGCAGAAACCTTGTCCCTGCTGCACTGTGGAGCACAATGGCAGCAAGGATGTGAGTGTCCTGATGTAGCAGCTCCCTCTCTAACAGATCGTCTTTGTCCCTACAGCCCAAACCAACTGTGTGGATACCACCATTGCCAACTTGCTGGAAGGGAGAGTACCCTTCTTCCCTGAAAGTAAGGAGGCTGGTACTGACCTGCCTGCCCCATCTGCCTCCCAGGCTGCAGCTGCTTCTGGCATCCAAGGCTCCGTAGCTGTGCCTTCTTCCAAGGTACTTCTGGTGGTTGTGTTGTCTCCTCTGGTCTGATGGCTTGCAGCCAGAACATGATGGCCTGTGTTCAGGACTAGCCATGATGTCAGGGGAGTGGAGCATTTTAAACCAGAGACCGAATTGGCATGCCAGGTCCTTGCAGAGCCGCTAAGGAGGTCTCCTGGCTTTGTTTGACTGTCTCCTGATGGCTCTTGTGCTTTCTGTTCCAGCCAGCTACAAAGCAATTTGCAAAGTCCCCTGTGGAGCGGCATCTGTCCTTGCAGGAGCGGAAACGAGCATTGTACGACTATGCCAGGAGGTGAGAGTCCACCCACACCTCACCCTGTCAGAGTCCCAAAACCCCATCCCCAGCAGTACCCAGATATGCCCCAAGCAAGGGTCAGCCCTCACTTTGCCTCACGTCCTCCCATTCCTCTCCTCTGGCCCAAGACAGCGGGGCTGAGGCAGTGAACCATGGCTGAAGGAGAGAGGAAGCAGATGTTTGTCTGCTTCGCCTCTTCCAAGCATGCAGCCCCTTGTCATTCTTGGGAAGCACTCTGTCTCCTGAATTGCCACTGGGCTTCTGGTTTTGGGGACTAGGTGGGATAGAAGCCAGAAACACAGCTGCTGAGGAATAGGGCTTAGCAAAGAAACCTCATTTGGTTCTTTGGTGTACTGGATTTGACTGCTAGAAGTCATTGTGGGACTATAGATTTCTTTGAGATTAGTGTTGATGCTATGGAACACTCATTTTAGAAAGAAGTTTGCTGTTTGGCAACAGGGACAGTGCAATTAATCTTCCTTAGTGTAAGTGGAGAATAACAGAGAACAGGGAGGGAGATTGACCTCTGTGCATGGTTTTGATGAGGCAAGTATTGGAACAAGTGTCCAGTTCTGGTGTCTGGGTCTTTTTTTAGAAGAGACACAGAAAATTCAGAATTAGTTTGGAGGGGAAGTTAAGTCTGTTAAACTTACTGTAAATGAGATGGCACACTATATATAATTCTGGGTGAAGGAACCAGGTTCTGAAAGGCTGTTTAATGTGGCAGAGAAAAGCAGAATAGTAACTAATGGTTAGAAGTTGTAGACAGACAGACTTTACACAGGTAACGGAGGAGTTGTTTCTGAAAAGGAAATTGATTAATCAGTGGAATAAGCTTCCAGCAGAAATGATGGCTTGTCGGTGCCTGGCTGACTCTTTAGAAGATGCTGTAGAAGATGGTAGAGATAAGGGAGTGTTTGGCTCAGTCCAGAGTGACAAGGGGCCTGCTTGCTGCAAGATCGGGTCTCCACTCCGTAGGGTCTTATTGTGAAGGGGACAACCCCTCTGGTGCCACGTGCAGGCGTTGCACTGAGCTTTGCTCCAGAGCCCTCCGGGAGAGTCAGGAGAAGATTGCAGGGGCTCAGGGATCAGTTAAACCTTTGAGATCCTGTGGCTTTTTGACACCGCATCTGCTTCTCCCTACTATTGAAAGTCTAGGAAATTCCCATGGTTGGAAGTTGAACCTAGACAAATTCTAAGTGCACGTTTCTAAAGGGCTAGCCCTGGGTGACTCCAGGTAGCTCTTAGTCAGCAAGAATTTAATTTAAACAGGTCTGTTTTTCTGAAAGATCATTTCAGTTTAGAGGAATTGCATCTCAGAATAGTCCTGTGGCATAGAGAATGTTAGACTCTGTCTTCAGAGCTGTCCCCCAGACCTTTTAACATGAGCATAGAGATGGCTGAGGGCTCTTGCTGGATCCACTAGGCATGATCTGTTCAACAGGAAAGAAAAGGGGGTGGAAATCCTTTCCTGACTTTGTTGCTCTTCCGCATGCCAGTCTTCTATGTCCCTTTTCTGAGGCTCTTCTGACTTCTGGCTAGAGAGTAGCGATCTCTATACTTCCCTGAGAGGAAGGGATCCCGACAGGATTTGGAAAGGTGATTGTGCTCCTCATCTTTCTTAATCCAAAGAAGGGCCTTCCTTACTGTCCTAGACTTGAGAGCAGGTATGTGTCTGTCTTAAGTTCTGAGTGACAGCAGCAACCCCTGTCACTCAGCCATTTCAAGCTCAGAAAAGGTTCGCAGCTCAAGGCTTGCTGAATGTTTTATTTTCATATGGCCCTCTGCCCAGGCTGCTGAAAGTACTGGCGATTCACAATGAGACATGGCTGTTCTCTGGGGAGGATTTTGCTCTTTCAGGACAGTTCGTTCCCCAGCTAGCCGGTGTTTAATGGCAGCACAGGCAGGATGTGGTGGAAGCTGGGCGTCTGTCAGTTCAGGTGGTGGTTGCAGGAGTCTGGTGGTCTTGCAGCGTCACCTCTGCGTTCTCCCACGTGGAGTCTGTCTTTGGCCCAGCACCTTTTCCTGCCTCTGGGGCCTGGAGTATCTGTTGTGCATATGTATCTCATCAAGACTGAGGTGTAAGGCTTAGCTTGCGTGTTCCCATGCTTGGGGACATTTATAGCTTTTTACCAACAGTCCACACTGCTTCCCATGTGCTTTTTAGCTTAGCCGGGTAGAATGTTTTGGACGCAGGCCGGTACCATGCCCAGACTTGTTGAACATTGAATGGCTGGGGCTCTGCTGGCAGAGAGAACCATCATGTCAGGAAACCTTGACTGGGAAACCTCTGTCCTGAAAGCCAGGCAGTGACTTGTTCAGGACCCAGAGCTGCTGCTGCCAGTCTCCAGCAGACTCGCAGCTCGGCCCGACTCAGCCCATGCTCGGTTTAATGCTCTGTTGGGCTCATCCCCAGCGGTGACTTTGTTTTGCCTTGTGGCTTTCCTGGAACAGCGTACTCTGCCTGCCGGCTTCACCCCAGCTTTCTTAGACTCTACACAGGCTTGAAAGGAAAACAGGGCCCGATTCAAGCGAGTGTGTGGGCTGGGGAGCATCCTGGCCCAGTTGCTGATGCAGCACCTCCAGCCGCACACCTCGAGAGCTGGGGAGGGTCGTGAGGGTCGCCTCAGCTGCCCGGCCCAGCCCTCCGGCCCCGGACCTCTCACCCCACCGGCCCTCTCAC